TCCCATCGTTTTCTGTAGCCTTTTTTTTCTTTTCTTTTTTCCTTTGTTTTGATTTTTTGTCTCTGAATTTATTTACATTTCAAGGCAGTGAACAGAACTGTATCACACTAATATAGTAAAATGTAATACAATTTCAGCTTTGTGTATTCTGCTTGTTTTATTTTAGTGTTTCTTCCTTCCTCCAAGCAGGACAAAAACATGCTCTCATTTGGCATTGTGAGCACGAGAAACACAAACAGAAATGTATTATGTAAGCAGTCACAAATCTGTCACGAATCTTATTTTCCAGTATTTTTCTACTGTTAGTGACCTAAGATTTCATTACAGTATCATGATGATATAAAATAAGAGAGTATGATATGGATTTATTAATGGAACAGACCCCTTTAATGGGGTGACATCTGTTAATGCAGCCTCCTAAATAATCCAGTAGCTTTTTCTCTTTAGAGCAATCTTCATTTAGGAAGAAAGCTTTAAGTTACCTTGTTTTATTGATCCTGCTGTCAGTGGGAACCCCCAGGAAGTATGGCACAGCTCAAACTGAACTAAAAGATGGATCAATTGTATTTTGTGAGGCTGCATGGTGCCAAAACTTTGTTGATGTGAAAACAACGTTTTTATCTTGGCATCTGACATCAGGATCTTCCACAGATAAATCTCAGCAGCAGTAAAAACTGCATAATGCTCTTTGTTTATTTTTCTTACCTGAGACTGTGCTTGAAGGGTTCGTTTCAATTCATCGCTCTCTGGAAAGGGCATGGAGCTTTTGTCACAAGCTACCTTGTGTAGCTCTTCAAAGCACTTCTCAGATTTGCTGTGGCAAACTGCTTGTACGTAGGCAGGATTTTTCAAGCCACTCATGGCACATTCGTAAAAAGTCCCGTTGAGCAAAGCCACAGAAAGCCACATCACTGGGGCTACCAGAGCGTTTAGAGTGATTTGTCCAAAGACGTAAAAGAAATGGCAGGTATTCCCTCTGGGGAATATTTTTCTGGGATTCGCCCAGCAGCCCGTAAAGAGTTTCCAGGTCTTGCTGTTCAAGAAATATCCAACAACTAGCAAAACAAAAGCTGGGGAGAAGAGAAATACCAAACCATATCTGAAGTTTTCATTGCTGCAGGGACATCTGAAAGCAACAAGAGAAAACACACGTTCACCTCCCATTGTCAGCAGTGCCATAAAACTGTAACCTATAGCAGTTTTCCGGTTCATAAAGAATTTCAGGATTGTTTGGAAACCGTCCATGTTTGATACTCACTACAGAGGTAAAAATCAAGAAGCTTTTATCTTCAGTCGTAGCAGCCTGTAGTGGTGCAGCAGGGGAGAGCTTTCCCGGGGAGAAGCAGCCCACTGCCAGCCTGTCTGAATGCTGTCTAGATAACACCGTGATGTCACTGTCTGGAGAAACACGCTCACAGGGGACCAGTCCACCACCAGAGCAGATGTTGCACATTTACAGTAACATTCATTGGTAGTAGAAGGAAAACAAGCGATGCTCTGCATAACCAAATAAGTTTCCAGTCTTGGCAGTCTTATTCTTGGTGGGTTGTTGATTTTTCGTGACTGCAGACAGAGATCAGAGTGAAAACACACACTCACCAGTTGCAGGAGTTCGTGAGCTCTGATTATCAGAGTTGCTGGCAATGTAGTGAAGGCCCTAATATAGAGGTTAATGGTCCCAGGAGAGTGTGACATGACTGAAAGCAGGAAAGTGATAACAGTAAAACCACTTTGTGTGGGGTTGTAAATGTAGGAAGATAAAGACAGAATAACCAGCCTTCTGTTGTATTTCCCTGGAGTATCACGTAGCTCCAGATTTGCATCTCTGTCTCAAACTGATCACAGAAGAGATGAATCTAGTTTGATTTCCAGCCTGTCTCACCCTTCCCCCTATTTTCCTGGGATAAAGCTGGTCTACAGGATGCTACATCCTGAAGTTTGCCCTCTGCTTTGCACACAACAGACTGAAGCAGCAGAGTTTCATCCTTTTGCAGGTTGCTTTCAAGATGTACCTTGGGGTCACCCCTAGTGTGAGCTGCAGCAGTGCCGCAGGAAACGAATTCTCCTTAATCCTGGACAAAAACCCACTAGTGGACTTTGTGGAGGAGCTGCCGGCAGAACGAGCATCACTTTGCTACTGTAACCTCCTCTGTGGAGTGATTCGAGGTGCCTTGGAAATGGTAAGGAAGTGCACATCTATTTTCTCCATTCTTCGTCAATACGCAGAGGCACAGGGAGGCAAAACCACTTGCTCAGATAAAGGAAATTTAGTAGTATTTAATCTCTCTCTCAGATTAAATATCTGTATCTAAATAAAAGAGGGCCAGACTGATCCCAGATCCTGAGGTAGGGAAGCACACAGGTTGTCTCACGTCACGCTGTCTCTGCTTGGCTCTTCAGTGGGGGTCTCAGGTGCAAAAGCCGGATGGGACCAGGGAACCAGCTAACACATAATGTGGAGAGCCTGGGGGACATGCTGGGCTCCTCCGCTGCTCCTTCAGCCTCTTTCCTGCATAGGTGTAACCGTCAGCCATCCCTGATTCTTTCCAAATACATGGAGATAAATAATATTCTTAGGTTACCACTGCACCTGCTGAAAGGGGGAACACAATGTGGATGAGTATAATGCTGAACATGCTAAGCATCAGAAGCGTATCAGATGGCATTCCAAATTTTGTTCTTAAATTTAAGGCTTTTACAAAAGAATAAACAAAGGGCATCATTTGAAAGTCACTGAGTTGTACAGCTTCGGTGGCATTTTCTGGAAGATAACTTATGGGCTGCTTTATGTTTCTGTCAGTTTCTAATTTGTCATATATCTTATGTTTCAAGAAAACAAAAGCTGTACTACTATTATGTATGTACGTCAGTCCCACTAATTAACAAAAGTATTGTAAGTATTAGGATGTGACCAGGAAATTTTGTGATCACACAATCATCAAGTACACAGTTTAGGTTCTCAGAAAAAAGCAAAGCACTGGAATGATGGGTACTGTATTATACAAATTCCAGTGTATATAAACTTCCTTTTTATTAACTTAGTTGGGAAAGTTATTTTAAAACAAACTAGAAACCTGTTTCTTCTGAAACCTGAGAAAGGGGGTCCCCTTGTGGTAAGAGAGAGAGAAAAAAAGCTCTTTATACTGGAGGAGGGGGAAAAACTGGAAATTTCTTTACTTAACTGCTCCAACCCGTTTCTTTCTAGGTTCACTTAGCAGCCGAAGTTACCTTCCTCCAGGACAGGCTGAAGGGCGACGCTGTGACAGAAATAGGAATTACATTTTTAAGGAAGGCCGAAGATCGAAAGCACAAAAGAAATAAATGAAAGAAATATTGTCAGAAACCCTTGCTGAGGTGCCTTTTGCACCTTTGGTTTCTGAAGATGTGTGGGGTAAAAACAGCTGCCCTGAGCCAGCTGCACGAGGGCACCTTTGCCATTTGAAAGGTGAGGAGAGCCGGGCAGCAAACGGGAGGGGCAGAGAAGGGAGGAGCAATGTTAATCGTCGTGACACAAATGTCAGTATAAAAGATGAAAATGGCCTGCCCTTCCTTCTCACATAACCAGGCTCTTGAGCTCAATGGAGGTTTTACTTCAGTATTTAGTGCACGCTGGATGCAAAATATGCATTTGGATGCCAAGTGTTTTCAGCTAAACGTGAGCACCTTTTCTCGTTTTGTTTGTTGGCAATGTTTAAAAGCGCGGTTGCGAAGAGGTGCTGTATTTCCCTGGCTGTTTGTGGTTAGGAACAATGAACTCATTCGCCGTGACTGCTGTATGCAGTGTCTGGCTGTCAGGTCCCTGTTTTGATGCGTAATTGTTTGCCATCCGTTGTCCTCCACACCGGACATCCTGCTGCCTTTGAAACCAGAGAGAGATGTGGCTTCACTGATGGCAGGAGGCGGTTCCTTACAGCTCTTTCAGGCCTCAAACGCAGTTTTGCTGGCACGCCTGTTCAGCCCCATATGTATATCAGGCTGCAGCACTCTGATGGCCGCAGCAATGCTTGTGTTGCTTCAAGCTACGGGCCTTTTCATGTCAGTCTTCTCTTCAAGAGCACTGATCTTATGACCAAACTGAATAAAGCATGTCGTATTTAATGTATAGTCACTGTGGATCTGTACTTCACCTAAGGAAACTTAAATAAAAATTCAGAGGTTGCCATACAACCAGTTTGCTGGTCATTGTGTCTGTTCTTGCCTGACCTTCGTCACTAGCCCTTGAACATCTGCCACTTGGCAGTGGACTTCTCTTACCATAACACGACTTTGAAGTAGAGACGTAGCACTCTTGCAGAGACCTGAATTATAGGAAAGGTTTAATGTTGTCCAGTGTAATGCGAGCTATCTGGGTAAAAGTTGGGTAAAAACCCGAGGCTCAAGTCCTAGCTCAGGACCGTATCCACAAAACCAGCTCATCTTCTTCTCACCAGAGCACCTGTTTTAAATTGAAATACGAACCCTCAGTTCAGTTCAGTGAAGCCAAGAGTCATCTCTGATTTTATTGCTGTGGTTTGTACCCTCATCTTCTATTTTCCCCTCAGTCTATTTTCCTCTGAATCCTGCTGAGTGAGGAGCACCTCTTACTTTGGGGACAGCAGGGTTCACTCCCACCACAGCTGCACAATCCTCACGATAATCCTTCTCTTTTTGTTTGTTTTAACAGTGATGTACATGGTGGCACAGTAGAATGGAGCTTTAAGAGAACAATTTTGTACAGAGCAGAGACTAAGTTGTTCACTACCCAGCCATGGGCTCAGCTCATCATGCTGTTACCTGCTAGGGACGATGAGTTACAACATGTAACAACATGTTACAGCCAGTAACAAGTTTTCCTCCTTTTTTCTTCTTTTTCCTTCAGGACTGAAAAGTCTAGTGGAGTTGGCCTGACTCCGCTGCCTGCGCAGGAGCCCTTGGGAGGGTTTTCCCTGATTGTGCTCAGCTGGCTGAGGTGGACACACGGCGACTTTGGCTGACCACAAAAAGGTTCTTTACAAGGCAATGGCCATTTTTCCTTTTTCCAGCAACATCCTATCAACCAAATACTCTCCTCTTTTTATTATTATCTTGAACATGAATAAGCTATACTGTCCTTTTGTGATATAATTCTCTTACTCAAACCTCTGTTGCATTGGACTTGAGCACAGGTGTGTCTGCATGCACACACCTATGGCAACATTTTCTGTCGAGGTCTGCATGAGCTAAAAAGCACCAGTCACCACGTTGCAGGAACACGTAGGCTGACTCCTGTGTATTCAGGGCCTGTTAAGGACCTTCTGCTTGCAGGCATTAGCTAGCAAAGTCAGGGATGGATATTACAGCATCTTTAAAGCAAGGACAACTAGTGTCATCCTAGGACCTTCGCGGTCTTGCCACACTGGCCTTGGTGTGGCCAAGGCTTCCTTCCCTTCCTTCAATGCCTGACATTTGCGGTGATGCTCCATGTAGGACATCAAAGCTGTTTCTTTAGGTTTCAGTATTTCAGAATAAACTGCCTGAGGAAATCTTTACTTCTACTTGGACACGGTAAGTTTTGAAGGATAAGTTTCCACCATGAGAATGACGATATAGGAGAACCACCTGAGCCAGTCAAGACCATACAGACGGGAGATCAAGCCAAGAGGCGACACGAGACTGCCAGACTAGACTGGGGGCTGGTTCATACTCATATGGTACCACGTTTGTGCATCTGGTTGTGCAGCAACTGCTCCTCTCAGCTGGGCTCTGTCCTGGGCCGACATGCTCCGTGCACACTTGTTTTGCTGTTTGTGTTCTTTGTATTTTCTTCCTACACTGGACCACCTCGTCCACTGTATTCTAAAGATGGAGTAAATAAAAGTTAGGTAGAAAAATGGTAGTAAACAACAGGAAAAATAGTGACCCACACTATGTCAACATTTATGGCTGACATTAAGTACTCTACACACATACAGTTTTTTGTTTGTCTCGCTTGGTAGCATATTCACAGAAGTGTTCCTTGTTTCATTTTAGTGTGAGCCTTTCTTTTGAAGGTGGCTAACAGAACACTCACAAGTGCAACTCACAAGTTACATAGAGAAGATATGAGTGTTACATAAAGGTGAGGAAAAATCAAAATTTAAACCTGACTGCATACACTGAGCTGTGCTTCCTGGAGGCACACGTAACAAGCTAGACACTTGTTACTCTATTATCAAGATTCTTGGAAGGAAAAAAGCACTGAGCAAGTCAGTGACTTTGTGACAAAATGAATGCTTTCTAAAATTCTTTTCTTCATACAGAATTAAATCTTGTTTTCCCTTTATGTGATATATTTTCAGTTTATAATAAAAACAGAGCTTCCAAGCTATTTGTATTCAGCTAGTTAAAATAGGCTCTTCCCTTCCTTCTTCCTTGGAAAATGACTGTAACAACTAACTTCATGGGATTCCTCTCTGTCTGAATTGTTTCCAAGTTAGAGTTTACTGTCTAGAAAGAGAATATTTCTGGGAGAAGTGAAAGGACAGCCTGGACAAAACAATCTGACTCACCACTCTAAAATGCTTTCTAAAAAAAATTTTTCAGAAAAAAACTGAACTTTATCATTCTTCTCTCAAAACTGGTGTCTTTATTTCTTATAATTAGATGTTCTTTGATAAGAGCATTATTATTTGCTAATGTGGACTGCAGATTAATAATGTCCTTAAGTATGTAACTTAAATGTTTGTTAATATAAGCTTCCCCTATACCACCATGCTGTGCATGAGCCTAACTCCTCAAGACATGCTAATTTGCACTTAGACTCCATTCTGGATCGAGCTAAC